TGAGGATTAATTAGGTTGCCTATGTGGCAGGGTGGTGGTGGTCAAAGAGATCTCTCTCTGATTGTGTTAGGATTAGGTTGGGGGAGGGGGGTGTTTGTGAAAAGGATTAAAGGTTGAGGGGTAGGAGGAAGTCAGGGAGGCAGTAGAGTGAGAGTCCTTAAGAGCACAGTCCGGATTTGAGTGGATTGGAGCCTTGGCTCTGTTGCTTACTGCTCTGTAATATTGGGCCAGTTACTTAATCTTGTAAAGATTTAATTGCTTAACTTATAAAATGGGGATAAAAGTAAAATAAATAAACATTAACATTTTTTTAAAGAAGTGGGGTCGCTGGGGCAGCTCAGTCAGTTAAGCGTCTGACTTCAGCTCAGGTCATGATCTCACAGTTCATGAGTTTGAGCCCTGCGTTGTGCTCTGTGCTGACAGCTCAGAGCCTGGAGCCTGCTTTGGATTCTGTGTGTGTGTGTCTCTCTCTGCCCCTCCCCAACTTGTGTTCTCTCTCTCACTCAAAAATAAATAAACATTAAAAAATTTTTTTAATGGGGATAAAAGTTACCTACCTCATAGAGTTATGAGGGAATGTAGCATGCTTAGGATAGTGGCAAGCACATATTAAATACTTGATAGATTTACTAATATTAAGTCGAGTTGAGGGAAGGAAAAAAGCAGGGCTGGTGAACTGTACAATGGGAGTGTGCTGCCTCCACATACAACTGAATGATAATATTTGTGATTGGTTATCTTCAGAGAAAAGGAGTCCATGATGGGATGCATTATTTATAAATGTAACATTCTAATACTTCTGGTGTGTTTGCTTGTTAAAAACAATTGAAAATAAAAGATATTTTCCTTATTTTCCCTGTATCGAGAAACAAAACTTATAAAAAAATTTAAAGGTTAGTTTCCACTTGTAACTTTTGTTGTTGAATGATAGGTAAATATGAATGATTTCTGTTTATATTTTGTTGCAGATTTTATAGTTTTTCTATCCTTTTGGTTCTGTTTCTTGTAGCCTTCCTGGTTAGTTGTTTTTAGCAATATTTACTTATAAAACAAAGAGGATGAATAAAATGCTGCAAATATAAATCAATGAGACATAGATAAATAAATTTTAATGAGACAATAAGTCTCAGTACTGAAGTTTGTTCACTTCACTGAACAAAGTCTGTGCAAATTCTGACCTGCCTGTCACATGTCATGTTTTCATGTGTTGAGCACTAGTGAACCTCCTGGTTTTTAAATATATGTCCCAATACTCTAAGGTGACATCCTAGAAGTCTCTCTGTGTTCTCCCTAATATTCCAGCAGCCACCACAGTACAGATGCTTTGTTGTACATTGCCGTTAGGTACTAAAAACAACCACAGGGAAAATTATCATCATTTTATAGATGAAGATAACCAAGGCTTAGAAACTCGTTCAAAGTGATGTGCCAGCACATGGCAGAGCCAGAATTTGAAAATCAGATGTCTGATTTCAGACCACCAACTGCTTTCCTCACCCACAATCAGTTGGGAGACTGCAAAGCTAACCCTTGGCAAAGTGGCTAGGCTTGTTTGTTTCCTGCTGCTGTCCTTCCAGTCCCTCCTTCATTTTACTGTCCGTTTTACTGATCAGATGCAGGTGTGAAGGCTTACCTTAAAGAATCATCCAGTCTAGTGGCTCTCAAATATAGCCAGTCAAAAGGGTCACCTGGGACATTTATTTCTTTTTAAATTACGACTAAGTTTGTTTTAGCTGGAGCCCCGGAACATGCATTTTAACCATTCTACATGTGATTTTTGACAATCTGACAAGTTTGAGAACCATTTCAGATGCGTACGTCCCCACTCAAACACTTCTTCCAATTTTTCTGACTGGTAGTCATCTAATACTCCTATTGTCTTCTGACAGGAATTCACTAACATCTTGCCAGGAAGGTCATTTCATAGGTAATTAGCTGCAATGTGCACTTTTCTATAGAGTTTTCATTTACTGTCGTATATGGATTAGATCAAGTTCTTTGGACAGCTGTTTATACTCCCTAGGTATTGGCTTTGAGGTCAGATCCAGGCTAAAATCTTCTCTAAACCTTACCTTCCTCATGTGTAAAATGAGTATGTTGTTATCTGTCTTGAAGGGTTGTATCAAAAATTAAATGAAAAAAAAAACTGGCTGGAAAAATTCTTGAATGCCTTCAAACAGCCATTTCTTATAGTCCCTTGACCTTATCAGCTTTTTTTGAAATAGCCCAATGTCTGCAGGGCTCTAGTTAGAAGTGTGGATATATATATGTTAGAAGGCTCCCGGATATCCATTCCAGGATTGTCCGTGACAGAAATAGGTTGTCACTTTGACTTCTCATCAGCACACTTCTTTTTTTCACTTGTGGCTTTTTCTCTGGACAAAGAATATGGTACTTCTTATGGAGACAGATAAGCCTGCATTCCTGGAAATTCAGCTTTACTCCCTAAGTTATTGGAGTTTCCACTTGATAACTTGAACCCAGAGCAAAATAAATGCTCTGTAGGAAGACCTTAAAGGTAAAAGAAAAGACCTTCTTGAATTATACAAAGAGCAAAATGAAGAGCCAAAGAAAATATTCCATGTCTCTTTCTTATCCAATAGTAGATAGATAGTTGATGAGTGTTTAAAAGAAGAAAATTAGGTGGAGGTAGTAAGTGAGGGGGCGGGCAGTGGCATTAAGCTAAGGAATGTTGAGTGCCTTTTGGCAAACACAGAGTGAGAAAAATAAATATGTATAAATTCAACCTAATCCTCACAGGTAAGATCCCATTTTACCAATGAGAATACGGTAAACCATTAAGAATAAGTAAGAGAAGGGGCGCCTGGGTGGCTCAGTCGGTTAAGCGTCCGACTTCAGCTCAGGTCATGATCTCACGGTTTGTGGGTTCGAGCCCCGCGTCGGGCTCTGTGCTGATGGCTCAGAGCCTGTTTCAGATTCTGTGTCTCCCTCTCTCTCTGCCTCTTCCCCACTCATTCTCTGTCTTTCAAAACTGAATAAATGTTAAAAAAAAAAAAATTAAAAAAAAAAAAAAAAGAATAAGTAAGAGAAGCCTCGTACCTGGTCAGATGGCAGGTCCAGATTCAGAACACCTAGGACTTTACAGAATGTGATTAAAAAAAAAAAATTATAATACATACATTCATGTTCTTTAAGAAATAGATTTGACTTAGTGTCCATTGTACTGTACATATTCCCCTGTCAAAACACCTGTTATTTTCTTATTTTAATTGGTTATGTCTCTCTCTTTCTACTAGTTACTTGCATATAGGGACTAGGTTGCAGCATTCATATCTGAGTCACCAGGGCCTAGTACAGGAGTTGGCCCTTGACTTGTGCATTAAAGGTTTGTAAAAATGGGGTGCCTGGGTGGCTCAGTTGGTTGAGTGTCCGATTCTTGATTTCAGTTCAGGTCTTGATCACCTCGGTAGTGGGATGGGGCGGGCCCTGTGTTGGGCTCTGCGCTAAGCATGGAGCCTGATTGGGATTCTCCACCTCCCTCCCTCTCTGACCCCCACCCCCACCTCCCACTCATGCTCTCTCTCTCTCTCTCTAAAATAAAATGAACAAAGTGGTTCCATTTGGGAAAAAAAAAAGGTTTGTAAAAATGGGATTTCTGTCTCTGGCATTTGAAAACATCTGTACCCTCCACCCTTTCCTCATCTCTGAGTTAAAAAGAAAAAAAGTGTAGTGTTGTAAGAGATACTAGAAATACTCTAAGCTCAGTCCTCACATTTGTATGAAGGAAGGAATTTGAGGCATAGGCTGGAAAGGTGGATCATGATGTACCCCAAAACCCCTAGTTGATAGTAGTTATTCTAGTATTCTTGCCTCCTGGTTCTCAGTTCAGGGCTCTTCTTAGCACCTGCCTATATATATACTGCATTCATTCAATAGCCCTCTGATTCTTCCTTTATGCTCAGTGCTGAGGAAATGCCACTTTCCTTTCTGCCTCCCTAAATAGATAGATATACTGCCATACTTTCCAGAAACCAGAAGAAAAACAGCTTCCTAAGAGTTAAGACTTAAACTAGAAAATGGTCACTGAAATTGAGATTTTTACCTGGTGTATCCTTTTTTGCTCATCCAGACAGTCATTTATTCTGTTCATTGAAGATGGTAAATGATCATTTGCATGCTGGATCAACTGTTATTGATTTTTCAGGTCCTCCCTGAAAATAATCTCATTGCAGTAGTTTGGTGTGGTTGTTGAAGTGTGTGTTTGTTTCACTTTTCTTAAAAGCAAGTTAAATCTATAATGTTAAGTTAGGCTATGAGTTGTGCTTCCTTTTAGCTCAGACTACTAAAAATAATTTGTACATGATGGTCTCCCATGGGCTTGAGTGAAATGTGGCAGAACAATGATTTTTTTCTTCAGTTAGTTATTAGCCCTCTGTTTTCAAAATGTTTTTGACTCTACCGTCATGAAAACACTACCTAAAGTTTTTTCAAATGAATGCATTTTAAAAGGTAATTTTAGTAGTACTTTGGACACATTTTAAATTTTAGAGAGTGTATCCAATGTATAGAACTTATCAGTAACAAATATTAAAAATACCTGATAAAATTACATCAAAACTACAGCCACCTTTTGATTTTTCAGAAAAGTGATTCTATTTGTAGTCTAAAAGTTCTTAATTGTGGACTTCCTCTAGATAAAAAATCCTCTATTCATTTGAATAGAATGTTTGACAGTGAAGGCTGAGGGCAAAGCCAATTCGCTGGACTGTCTGTTTGGAATTTACTTTTTTAGTTCATTTGAGAGAAAGTCTGAAGTAGTGGGACATATACATTAAAGAATATGGGGAGAGAGGATGTAGTTACAAAAACTTGTGTTAAACTTACACAGTGCTGAGGAATGCCAAATAGTCATTCTTAATGAAAAGAATGTGTGTTCTGGAACTTTTATTCATGTCATTAATCCATGACAGGAAGCAACTGATGTAGTATTAATTTTATGAAGTAATTTTATTTATTGTCTTGTGTGTTTTTATTTTTAGGACCGGAGTAGGCCCTATGACACTTTTAACTTGCACTCGTTGGAGAACTCCTTAATGGATATGATAAGGACTGATCATGAGCCTCTGAAAGGTAAACACTACCCTCCCAGTGGCCCACCAATGAGTTTCGCTGATATAATGTGGAGGAATCATTTTGCAGGTTAGGAATATTCATATGTCCATTCCTTGCTTGGTGTTTTTAAAAAAATCAGCTTTTTAATAATTGTGATTTTTTTTTTCATTTTTGTTTGTTTTTTTTCCCGTTTGTTTTTGTTTGCTTCTGTAAAGCACTGTGGAATGTATTTAAAGTTGTTTTTTATTTATTTTTTTAAAGCTGGGTTCAGCTACCTACAATAATCAAGGTTGATTGCTTTAATCATAATGTCTGGCAGAAGCATGTGTTGGGTAGCATGAGACCAGAACGCAAGTTTTCTGGGCTTTGTGCATTTGGACCCCTTAGCTGAACCTGGATAATTCATTTAAGTCAAAGCATACTGCAAGGAAATATGAGACTTAGTAAATCAATGTCCAAAGACTACTACAGAAAACTTAATAGAAAAGAGTTCCATTTTATTAAAATATAATCACTTTCCTAGTATAGCAAGTATCACGACACAGACTTAAGAGCAGTGGGTGATTCTCTGCACTGTGTTAAGACTAAAATAGAAGGAAAATTTCTTAAAGTGTGTAAATGTTTTGAGTTAAATATAAGGCAGTCCCAAGGTCGGCAGTATTAGGACTTGCTATTTTTAGAGCCCCTGTAAATTCAGGTTAGCAGTTGATGTCACATTCATAATTACAGTTATTTTTTTAATGTGTTATAGGACTTTTTAGGGCCCCTGTGATATTTCAAAATACCATAATGGAAATTTCCTGTGGAAATATCCACTATACTTGAGTTTAGAGCCAAAATATCTGAAAACTGAAGAGTTGGCCACAAGGATGCCCATCTTTTAAGAGCCCTTATGTTCTCTGGAGCTGTGAAGAATTTGATCTCCTCTGGTTCTCTCCAGGCTTTTATATAGGGTGTGACTGACCATGACCCCTTGATCATCATTTCCTCAAGCCACCTCAGAAATCCATTTCATCATTTTCTTGTCACACTCATGATTTTCTACTGCTTTCCTCAATTTCCATGAAAAGAAAGTAGTTAACAGGCTATGAAGAAAAGGATTTTGAGAAAAGCTGTATTTTAAGGCCTTCAGAAGTAGAAAAAAATCTCTCATTTAATCATTGTTATATTTAGTCATCGTTACCACATCTCTCCTCAGTTGAAAGATTAGGTATATGATAATTTAAAGCCTATTTCACTTAGCAGTGAGAATGGTGTTAAAAAAAAAAAAAAAAAAAAAAACCAACCCAATGATATTCACAGACTATTTTTTTTTTCTACTGCTTTCCTCAATTTCCATGAAAAGAAAGTAGTTAACAGGCTATGAAGAAAAGGATTTTGAGAAAAGCTGTATTTTAAGGCCTTCAGAAGTAGAAAAAAATCTCTCATTTAATCATTGTTATATTTAGTCATCGTTACCACATCTCTCCTCAGTTGAAAGATTAGGTATATGATAATTTAAAGCCTATTTCACTTAGCAGTGAGAATGGTGTTAAAAAAAAAAAAAAAAAAA